AGTCAATTCGCCTTCTGAGAGGAGAGATTTCTTTCTTTATCATTCAGGGCTGGGGACTGATTTTAAATACAATAATAGATCTCATTTTCCCCTTTACTGTCCAAACCAATTGCAAAATAAAACACTCCCCTCCCTCCCTGCTCTCTCTCCTCACCTTTATTCCAAACAATATTTGTCGTGCGGATGTAACGYTGCCGAGCTCAGCTGATTATGGCAACGTTTGTGATAAAAATCAGAACATAAAGGTAATGGCGCTGTTTTTTCTCTTTAATGTGCTCCTCGGAGCGGGCTGGTTCTCCCAGCACCGTCCCTRCCGGTTTTTGGCAGTTTGGAAGGGACACAGTGTTTGTTTCAGGTGTTTCCACCTTTTTTTTTCCCATTGAGGTGTCAGTGGGGGCCAGCAGAGGGGATGCTGACCCTTTTATAGCCCTGTCATCTGTTCCCCCAGCCTCACCCCTCACTCAGGAGTGCTCTGGGACCCCCTCTCCACTCTGTTTTCTCCCCTYCTGTCCAACCAGGAGAAACACCAAGGTGGGGAGAAGGAAATGGGATCTCTGATAACAGTGCTGAGCGTCAATTCACGCCCTGCTGACTCCTCTTCCAGGAATCTGGGCTTGCTCGTGTCATTGCACCATGTCTGGGGTTGGCCAGGGCTCTTTAGGCAGAGACTGCAGAGCTCCTCAGAACCCCCAAAAGTGGAGGATCTCACTGACAGCTCAGGAGGATCTCACTGAAAACTCCAACACCGGAGGAGAGGAACAGCACGGAGCGAGCAGCAGCTCTCCCTGCTCACACCMATTTTTGGCTYTTCTGTGCTTCCTCCTGTGCCCAAGTGGGCCATGAGCTGCCTGCCAGCCCTGGGAGCTGGCCCTGTGCCCACTGCTCAGGACCTGGGGCTGCCCAGACCTCCTTCCATCCTCCACTGCTTCACCCTCAGCTGCTCTGCACCTCCCAGCCTGGCCCAATCTGTTCCAGTCTCCGTCTGCACAAGCTGTGCAATGGAGAGAGGAGGTGACAGTGGGAGGTTGGGGACTCCAGGTTTGGTTTTCCCTACCCTGGGAAGCAATTGGGACAATCAGGGCTCCTGAGATTTTTCTTCCCAGTGCTGGGAGGGTGAATGGTCCGGGGACAGGGGAGGAGCTGCACTCATCTCTCCATCCCGAGCAAAGGGAAGAAAATAAATGTAAGAATGTGTCAGTGACRCCTGATGATTTTTGCCTTTTCTTTTTATAAACTCCTTTTAGAAATTTGGTAGACCCTTTTAAATATTTTATAGACCCTTCTAGATATTTTCTGGACCCTTTTAGATGTTTTCTGGATTCTTTAAGTATTCTTTATACCCTTAGCCTACATGTCTGTAATTTTTGTAGGCTGATATTCCAGCTCAGTTTTGGGGTTCTGCTGGGCAGAAAAACCAAACATCCTCAGTAGGAGGCTGGTGAGCCCTGTGCTGTCCCAAAATTCAAGGTCCCAACCTTTGTTGAAGCCTTCTTTCTGGATCACGCTGTGTAAACTGGGCTCTGGCCTCATTTGGAGGGGATTCCTCAGAACTGGAGGGCATTGCAGCATTTATTAAGTTTCTTACTGGAGGATTTTAGACAGATCTGCTGATTTGTGGGGTCTATAATAATTGTATACGTGGGCATCTCAGTGTGTTGCACCTCAAAGTGCAACATAGGGTGCCTTAATAGGATCTTATAAAATACCGAGGGAAAACCCTTTTATCCCCTTAACCATAATTCCAAGACCGGCCAAAAGGGAACATCATCACCTCCCAGATGACACGTTGGAAACCTTCCTCATGTCCCAAAACATGCAGGACCCGTCCACCTTTTGGTGTGGCAGCAGTTTGGGTTCTAATCTGAAATTGTTGCAGCTGGGGATCCCCTGAAGCCCCTTTCCCATGCCTCACCTTTGTCTAAATCTCTCTCTTCTCTCCCAGTCCCAGGAAAGCCCATCCTCTCGGTGCACCCGACGGAGGAGAACGCCCTGCTGGTGAAATGGGAGCCCCCTCTGGGCGCCGAGGGCCAGGTGCTGGGCTACCGGCTGCAGTTTGGCCGCAAGGACGTCGACCCTCTGGCCACGCTGGAATTCTCGGCGCTGGACGACAAATACGTCGCCGCCAGCATCCACAAGGGCGCCACGTACGTGTTCAAGCTGGCCGTCAAGAGCCGCGCCGGCTTCGGCGAGGAGGCCGTGCAGGAGCTCACCACCCCCGAGGACATCCCCAAGGGTTACCCGCAGATCCTGGAGGCGAGCAACGTGACGGCGGCGTCGGTGCAGTTTGGCTGGTTGCCACCCGTGCTGGCCGAGAGGAACGGTGCCATCGTCAAGTACACCGTGGCTTACCGCGAGGCCGGGTCCGCCGCCGGCAATCTGCTGGAAAAAGAGCTGCCCCCCTCCCCCGAGAACTCGTACACCCTCAACGGCCTCAAACCCAACACCGCCTATGATGTTAAAATCCGTGCTCACACCAGTAAAGGCCCCGGGCCGTACAGCCCGACCGTCCAGTATCGGACGTTCCAGCTGGACCAAGGTAGGATTCACCGGTTTCTCCTCCCTCTGTCCCCTCTGTGTCCGGGGCTGGTGCCGGGAGGCAAGAGAGCTGGAGAGGTCAGGCCGGGCTCAGCCAGGCTCGTGAGTAAATGCAAAGCCAGTCTGGTGTCACACTCAGTCCCTCCGCTCCTCTCTGCCTTGGGCCAGGTAAGTCCCTTTTACCGCTTTTCTTCTAAGTTAAGTCCGGACACCTCCTGTCGCTGGCGCCTGGAGTGGGGGGGCCAGTCGCTGTACAGGTGGGAAGAGCGTTTTCTTCAGCTTTTGCAAAAAAAAAGAAAAAAAAGAGCCAATATTTTTTTAAGAAAAAAAAAATTAAAAATTAAAAAGTGAGCCCTGAAGCCGTGAGCTGGGATGGTTTTTTTTTCCTCACCTGAGCACGCTCAGCCAAGCCAGCACCTCGTTCCTGCAGCAGCCACCCAAGCGTGGAGCGTGGGGACAGAGCCACCTGCGCTCCCCGGGTTAGGCACGGGGACAGGGAGCACCGGGACATGGACCTTGGCAAAACTCAAGC